GGAATTGGGGGACAGGGTAATAGCAAAGCTATAAGCACGGAGAAATTAAGAAAAGTAGCCAGGCACGGTAATGCATGCTGTGATACCAATACGGGCTCCAGTCCAGTCTAGGCTACGGGTAAGACCTTATTTCTCTTTCTAAAGTTTCGGTTTTTGGTTTTTTTTCCCTCTCTCTTTTTTTTGGGAGGGGGGATTTTTCGAGACAGGGTTTCTCTGTGGCTTTGGAGGCTGTCCTGGAACTCACTCTTGTAGACCAGGCTGGCCTCGAACTCACAGAGATCCGCCTGCCTCTGCCTCCCGAGTAAAGGCGTACACCACCAACGCCCAGACCTTTCTAAAGTTTTTAAATCAATCAAATTTATAGTGTGTGTGTGTGTGTGTGTGTGTGTGTGTGTGTGTGTATAACCCAGAATCCTGACACGTATACATACTAGAGATAAACATGTACAATCCTTGTCAATTAAAAGTCTTTTGCCTGGAGATGATCCCAGTACTCCGGAGACAGAGGCATACAGTATGAGTTTGACAAAGTGAGGTCCAGGACAGCCAGGGCTACACAGAGAAACCTTGTCTTGAAAAAAAAAATTACAAATTGAAAATGAAACTACAATGATCATGAAATTACAAAAGCCACGAAGAACTGATGTTTCAGCAATTACAGCACTGTCTAAGATTAGAATGTGATAGACAAGGCTTGTATGCACATTGAACAGGGAACACTCCACTGTCTTTAGTGCCATGATCTCAGCAAAGCAACTGGGCTCATTGAAATAACTAGCGCAAGGTAGCACAAAGCACTCAAGTTCTGAAGCCAGGTTTTCAATCCCAAAGTCTGAGTCTACAGAAAACCTGAAGTCATCGTCTTAGAAACAAAATAAAAACAAAAACCCTACCATCACAGTCACTTATTTTGGGGGATGGAGGCATTCCTGGCCTATCATTTTTTAATGTCTCATTTTTCAATTTATGTATATGTAAGGATGTGTTCCCGTGTGGAAGTCACATGACAATCTGCAGGTTCTGGGGATTAATTCAAATAGCGTTGGAGGCAAGGGTGGCTGTATCTGGCTGGCCCTAAAGTCAGCAAAAGACAGATTTGACACAACCGCTGCTTCTCAGAGTTTTGAATAAAATCACATGTAAGTACAAAAGGAATTACTACTATTCAGTTACAACACTTTATTGCAGGCTTTCCTGAAGAGATGTATGGGACTATGACATGCAAAATAAAACCATGCACAGTACAATACCTGGTATATCCACTGCCATGAAAATCTGTGCTATTTAAGCTCCTGATGACAGTTTGCTGTGTGGAAGATAAAACTAATCAACGAAAACGCCTTGCCATCTCCCTCCCCCTTGGAAAAACTAAGTGCTTGGAAATTCTTATGATTCACGGTGCTCACTATGTACCACCCAAGTCCATCATGAGAGGAGAAAAGATACTCAATTGCAGAACAAAAACTTGGGACGGGGAATCCGCAACCAGATGTACCTACACTGGGGTTTCGTGCCTCAGCCACTCAAGCACTAAACGCAGAGTTTAATACGGACAAAAATTAAAGTAACTATGGAGCAATCAAACTCCAAGCCGCATCTGAGTCACAAACGGCAGTGTCTAACACCCCGTAAAGGAGAAATGTCTGGTACACGACATCAAACTAAATCACAGAAAACAAGGAAGAGTAGGCTAAAAGAACAGGAGGTGCAGTCTTGGCGTGGTAGCGGACATCAACGTTTATTGTCACATCTGGAGTGCATCCTGATAGGTATTTCAGAGGGGGGAGGACAAATTCCAACTCACCGCCACATTTCCACAAGTTTGAAAGGCGGTGAACATAAACATAAAGGCAACTCCTAAGATAACGATGTTGAAAAGCTTTTTAGATTCCGGGGACATTCTGGCTCCGCTTGGTCGGAGATCAGCAGCAGCCCGGGGCAGTCACCTCTCCTCCTCCAGGAGCCGAAGCCCCGGACGATCCTGAGGGAAGAAACGAGATGAGAGAGCCAGGCAGCCAGAGCGCCCGAAACGCGGCGGCCTTAGGAGAAAGGTCTCCGCACCCGCACAGTTCCGGCGATCGGGGGACGTGGCCGGGTGGATAGGAGACCCGGGGCCCGCACGCAGCAGCTCCCAAGTTGCAAGGCTCGCCGGGGCAAGGACGATTAGCAGCAGCCGCGGGGGCCGCCCTCCCGGCCTGGCTCACAGGGGATCACGAGACCGGTCAGCTGACCGCAGCGTGGGCGCAGGGCCCGCTGGGAAATGTAGTCCCGGTGGGGATGGGGGGGATCACGTCTGCGCAAGGCGGCGAGCGCGTGCTTCGCTCCTCGTCCCCGGGGGGAGCGAACCCGCGTGCCGCGAGCTGAAGACGAGGTCGGCGGGGAGGGAGGGGACTGAGGTGGCGGGGGACGCAGAGAGGCAGCTGCGAAACCAGTGACGGAGTTGGGGCCGAGGGCTGGGCAGGACGGTGCGTGGAGCTCGGGTATTGGCGTGGGGAAGCAGGCGGGGTCCGGCGGGTAGCGCTTCCTCTTCCCTCCTCCCCCCTTTCCCCCCTCCGCGGGCCTCGCCGGCGGCGGAAAGAGCATTTGGCGGGCTTTCCAACTGCCTTCCCTTGCCTCTCCCCCGCCCGG